TCACGGTTCGTGGGTTCAAGGCCCACGTCGGGCTCTGCGCTGACAGCTCAGAGCCTGGAGCCTGCTTCCGATTCTGTGTCTCCCTCTCTCTCTGCCCCTCCCCTGCTTGTGCTCACTCTCTCTCTCTCAAAAATAATAGATATTTTTAAAAATCTATGCAAGGATTAAAAAACACATTATTTTCTAAAAATTCCTAAGAAATTTAGCAATATGTTGAAATCATTCTCTTTAATTAATGTATGATACACACTGGACAGTGCTGGGCAAGCCAGATGGCCTTTCCATGACTGTGCTGTCCTTTGTCACAGTTGATCATAGCCTTATCTACAAACTCATAGTCTAATTAGTTCCAAAGTTCTCCATTTAGAGTGATTTGGGGCACACAGAACTTGCTGATTCGTCAGAGGTAGAGGATAAAAATCTGATCTGCAGCCGGAGCCATCATCCTACAGTCAAATGTCCTAACTCCTGAGAATGAACTTGAAAAAGCTCCCCACTGCCTTCCAACAGAGCCTAAACTCCTTAGCTTGGCTTCCACAGTCCCTCAGACCCTCAGCCTTGGCACCCACTATTCCCTCAAGCTGCTCTAACTTCTAGAAGGTGCCAGAGCCCTGTGGCTTCTCACCTCCAATCCCTCCCCTCCATTAACTCCATCAGAATCCAATCCCCTCCCCTCAAGGCCCACCTGGGAAACACCACCTGCTCCATGAAGCATTCCTTCTTCCTGCTTCATATTCTGATAACATTTGGTCTACACTATTCTCAAAGTCCTGCCTTGTAGAAAGCTCTCGGTACACGTTTGTTTTTACATCCTCTGCTAAGTTGCAAGTTCTCAGAGATCAGGAGAAACGTCTTCAGTGTTAGTGTTTCCAGAGGCGCCTGGGTGGCTCAGTCGGTTAAGTGTCCAACTTCAGCTCAGGTCATGATGTCATCCCTGCATCGGGCTCTGTGCTGACCGCACAGAGCCTGCTTGGGATTCTCTTTCTCTCCCTCTGTGTCCCTCTCCTTCTCTCTCTCTCTCTCTCTCAAAAATAAAAAATAAACATTAAAAATAATAATAAAATAAGTCCTAGGGATGTAACGGACAGCATGGCAACTAGAGTTACTACCATATTGCAGATTTAAAAGTTGCTGCAAGAATAAACGTCCAGAATTCCCATCACAAGAAAAAAAAATCTGTAACTATGGCAACAGGTGCATACTGGATTTACCGTGGTGAGTATTTTGTAGTCTGTACAGATATCCAATCATGATGCTTGTTGTATACCTGAGACTAATATAATGTCAATTATTCCTTTTTTAAAGCTGTCTTAAAAATATTATCTTCAGGGGGCGCCTGGGTGGCTCGATCAGCTGAGCGTCCTACTTCAGCTCAGGTCATGATCTCACGGCTCGTGAGTTCGAGCCCCGCGTCGGCCTCTGTGCTGACAGCTCGGAGCCTGGAGCCTGCTTCGGATTCTGTGTCTCCCTCTCTCTCTGCCCCTCTCCCACTCGTGCCACATCTCTGTCTCTCAAAAATA